AGAAGAAAGTGAAAATGGTTCAAAGCACATGCATGATTTCCATGAAAAAGCTTAATTTCTTGTGGTTGGGGTTGTTGGATGAACATTTGGAATTCTTAGCTTTTACACACAGATATGATATGGGTGAAATGATCTGGCCCAATTATCACAATTATAGGGCCAAGCTTTGGACCCTCTAGATCCTTAAATGGGCCTCTTCGGCCTGTGAAGTCTCAACATCATTAAGGACTCATCACTCGGTGAACCCAGGCCCCTGATTAATAATACGTAGTAGGCCCAAACAGTTGCGCCTATAAAAGCCCTAATCCAACAGAGAACACATGGATTTCATAGTTTCCAGACTATAGCGTATTTTGCAGGAACAGAAGAGGAAGAAGAAAGTGAAAGGAAGAATGGATAATATGCAGGCGGTGAACAAATTTGTGGCGGCGTACCTGAAGAAGAAAGGATTCAAAGACGAACAGTTTCTGGAGGATCTTCAAAACAAGGATTCGACTCCTATTGATATCCAGAACGATCCTGACATCGCCAAGTTCATTCAACACTTCTCCCGGTAAGTAGACGGCATTCGGTTAATTATTGCAGCAATTCTGCTCGACTTGCTGGAATTTCCGTTCAATTCTGTAGTGTACAGGCTTTTTTAGCTCTAAGCTGTTGGTGACTTAGTATGGATGAATGCTTTATGGAGGTATATTATATTTTCCTTTTTAATATGAATGGAAGCAGGGGAGATCTTGGAAATCTTATTGACTGCTTAGGTTTTTCCTTCCTGTTGTTAGAATCGTATTTTGGAGCTCAGTTTAGTGAAATGAAGTTCCTAAAGGTGTAAATTAACTTCTTACTAGAAGCTAGAACCGAGGCTGTTTTATAATGTTAATGCAATTCTTGAGGAAGCTCCATTGCTCCGGGAATAAATGTTGGAAGCGGAATTTCATTGTCAAAAATGGAGCCAAGTTTATCATAAACATGTGTTTAGTTTGGTTGGTGTATTGGAAAATCAATATAGCCATCTGTGTTTGCTTAGTTAAGGAGTGCCTTTTTTTTTTTATATATATATATATTCAATGGATCTGCCTGTTTTCCAGATCAGATGATGATCCGTCGAGATACCATGAAGGGTATAGCAAACTGAGGTCGTGGACTTATAGTTCACTAGATTTGTACAAGGTAACCAGCCTTCAAGTTCATCCTTGTTATTTAAACATTTTATAATGGAAGTTTTGATTTAAGATTTAAGTGATGTAACTTTGTCGTTTTTAACCATGCAGCATGAGTTGCTCCGTGTGCTTTATCCAGTCTTTATCCATTCTTTCATGGACCTAGTGGCAAAGGGACATGTCCAAGAGGGTATATCCTAAACTTTGTAGTCTTTCTTATCTTGTGTTAGGCTTTGTTTTTAGAATGGCATCTTAATCCTGCACTGTTGATAACTTCCTTAAGTTTCCTATTTGGCAGATTGTTGCCATCTGTTTGTTTCTTTAAACTCTTTGTGTTTCTCTCCTCTCCAGCTAGAACATTTTTTAATACCTTCCGTGAGGATCATGAAATGATTCACTTACGTGACCTTCAAAAGTTGGAAGGGGTTGTTTCTCAGTCACATTTAGAGGTTAGATATAACGTAAATCCCCATATACTTTTTTTCAGGTTAATAAGTAGTTTTTTTTTTATTCCAATTATTGTTATCTTAATCAGGAGATGGAATTTGCTCGATCTCTTAGGCAAAGTAAAGTCAACATTAAGATATGCCAGGTAATAGCTTACTTATTTCTTATGTGGAATTTTAAGTCAATTTGTTCTATTAAAGAGTCGCTAGATTGAACAAAAGTGTCTTGTTAACTCATGCAACCTGCTGACATGGTTATCATTCATTTTTGGAAGTACTCCTATGACCTTCTACTTCAGTATTTGCACAAGATGCAGTCCACTGCCATGCTTGGGGTTATCAATGAACATATTAACTTTCAAGGTACATGCTGTTTGCCATTTGATTCAATTTCAATGCATAATTATTAAAATTTCTCAAGATGATATGCTATCTGTACTCTCTTTTGGGAACTTACTCTTGTTGCGTTGCAGTCACTCCTGGACAGCCCTGCTCAATTTCTGATGATGCAGAGGTTGTATCACTTATTGGCAATTGCCAGGATATTGCTAATCAGATAAATCAGAAAGAAATACATTGCGGGGTGGGTCAACAGAGTTTGTTACTCTCTGATTATCTTTTGATTGTTATGTAGTTATGCACTGTTCTTCTAAGTTGTTTGTGAAAGCAGTTTTTTTATGGAATTTATTGCTTATTATGGATGGGGAATAGTATGTAGGCCTGTTTATTTCCATATTGGAATGTATGATGCGGCTAAATATACTTGCATGCCTTCATGCTAGTATGTCTAAGTTAGTTTAAACTGTTTTCATTTATTTGCATGCTTTTGTCATGTTATCTGATTTTGGCCTTATATATTTGTCATAGTTGCTTGAAGACTCGTTAGAAGAACGCTTGGAAAAGTCTGGTGGGCTGCTTTCAGATTCTGAAAAAACAGAAGGAGAAGCCAAGGAGGGGGACGTTGATGAGACAAAGGTAAATGGTAGCTTTGAATGCTTGTAGTCATGCTTCTAATTAGACTTATCTTTTTCTTTTTGTACATGTTCTTGTTCAGAAAAGATCAGTAGAAAGTGGAAAGCAAGGTGCTTCAACCAAGAAGTTGAAAAAGGACAAAGCTGTTAATGCTACAGCTAAAGCTGCACGTCCTGAACCTACCACTGCATCAGCTGCACCACGAGTCAAACCAGAGCTTCCTTTGCCCGTAATGTATTTTCAAAAATTCCTTTTAATTTTCCTTATCAGATTTAGGGAGGATATTACAATGGCATTGTCTACTTTTTATAGATGGATTAGGATGCTGAATGAGGTGCCAAAACTGTTAAGCTTAATTCTAAAAATTGGTCTTTGGTCATCTAGCTTAAAACATGACTTTTTAGAAGGAAGATGTGGATAAATTATAAATGTGAACTATCAGATTGCATTGATGTATTTTTATGCCCATTGCATCCTGTTAAGATGTGAAATATGATATGATCTATAATGACTTCAAATATCTGATCCTTAAAATGATATTGGATTCTCTCAAGCTCTCTATCTCATACATGGTCGAAAAAAAAGGGTCTCTACCCCATGGTAGCAAATTCTTTTTCCAATTATTTTTGTTGTTTCATTTCTTTTCTCCCATCTTAAGTTTGTGCAAGAATCAGTAATCTATAATGTACTTTGTATGACTTCAGATCTGCCTCTCTGGGTCACTGAATAGTATGTAAATGGCCAATAAATGATCCTTGTAATGATAACTTTTGCTTCTTATTTCCTGATTAATTTTTATTGATTGATTCAGGCCAACTGAGGTTGAACAGTCTATTCTTGAGGATTTGAGGACCCGTGTGCAGTTGAGCAGTGCTGCACTTCCTTCAGTCAGCTTTTATACCTTTGTCAACACTCATAATGGGTAATGTTTATTACTTTGGTGATTCTAGTGGTAAATTTTGATGTGTACTTAACTAATTATTACTCTTTATTACCTGTTTCAGTTTAAACTGTTCATCAATATCCCATGATGGATCTTTGGTTGCTGGTGGATTCTCAGACTCATCACTGAAGGTTGTGTCAAATATAATAACTTGCCTCTTGCGTAACTGTTGCTTTGTTGGTATGTAATCTTGAACGCTGTACTGCAGGTCTGGGATATGGCAAAGCTTGGGCAGCAAACTGCTAGTTGTAAGTATAGAAAAATAACATCCTGATTCCTGTTTTAATGTGTTGATACACAATGGTGCTGGATAATTGCGATATTGTCACTGGTTTAAATGCATGTCCCAACTGCTTTTTCGTTGGTTTGTTTACACTTTAGTATTCTGAGTGAATAGAAATATTGGTACTAAATAATGCTAGTTTCAGCTGTTTTGCAGAATGAAAATGATTCTTCTACAAGTGAACATGTTATGAGTCCAAATGGTGTCAAAAGATCATATACATTATTTCAGGGACATTCTGGACCAGTTTATTCAGCCTCATTCAGTCCTCTTGGAGATTTTATTCTTTCCTCTTCAGCGGACACAACAAGTATGTTCTTCTACTGTATCTCTGTTGTCCCAGAGTTTTTATTCTTGCTCAGTCCTTTTCTCCACTTTGGTTCTATTATACTCTGTATATATCAATCCAAATCTGTTATATGGTCCATGTTGAAACTTTTGTGATCTTTAAGGATTAAACTGTTCTACTGCAGTTCGATTATGGAGCACAAAACTAAATGCAAATCTTGTATGCTACAAGGGTCACAATTATCCTGTATGGGATGTTCAGGTATTTCCTTATATTTTCACGTTTTGATTCTCTAATAATATCTTTCCAGGCTGTGTCTTCTGAAGTTAGAGGTTGTTTATGCTTTGATGCAGTTTAGTCCTGTAGGACATTATTTTGCCAGCTCATCACATGACCGAACAGCAAGGATATGGTCCATGGATAGAATTCAGCCATTGAGGATAATGGCAGGCCACTTGTCTGACGTAGATGTGAGCAGTTTAATCATCTCTTTCTTTCAGTTTTAATTTTCTTGTCCATTTGAAAGTAATGTCCTCTGAATTTTTAAACCTTGATTCAGTGTGTCCAATGGCATGCCAACTGCAACTACATTGCCACTGGCTCTAGTGACAAAACTGTTAGATTGTGGGATGTACAGAGTGGAGACTGTGTTAGGATTTTCATTGGTCATAGGAGCACGATATTGTCATTGGCAATGTCACCAGATGGTCGATATATGGCATCTGGTGATGAAGATGGAATGATCATGATGTGGGACCTTTCAAGTGGTCGCTCCATTACACCTTTGATTGGTCACACCTCTTGTGTCTGGACTCTTGCTTACAGGTGAAAAAACCTTGCTTCTCAATGTCCAACTTATCTGACACCAACAGATTTTAAAAAAAAAAAAAATCCAACTTATCTCTTGCACTTCATGTTGAAATGGGTTCTTATGGCTATTTTCTTTGTTAGTCTAACATGTTATCGTGCTTGTCCTACTTCAGCTGTGAAGGTTCACTTCTTGCATCTGGATCTGCTGATTGCACTGTTAAATTATGGGATGTGACTACCAGCACGAAGCTGCCAAGGAGTGAAGAAAAGTAAGTTCCACTCATGCAGAGTAGTCTACTCTGTATTGTTTCTTCTGTGTAGATGTTGACTTTATATTCGACATTCTTTTTGGCCAATGACTTAATTTTCAACTTGAATGAGCAGAAGTGGAAATCCAAACAGACTGAGATCATTGAAAACTTTGCCAACCAAGTCAACTCCAGTATACAGTCTCCGGGTAATTACATACAAATGCTTTTTTGGTTTCATTTTTTCCGCTTGGTTCTCGTTTTTCACAATGGGGTCAGTAATGCAAGCCATGAATTTGTCTTGAAGCAGTTTTCAAGAAGGAATCTATTATTTGCTGCTGGTGCACTGTCTAAAAACTTGTAAAATGTCTACAGCAAATCATCAAGAAGTGAAGGTTTAGAGTCTTCAGGCTGACTTTTGTAACCGACGTGCTAGCCTCTTAACGTTTGTCTAATTGTTGTGAAGTAAGAATATCTCTGAAGTTATTTTATTGGCCATTTTACTCTTAACAAACATTTTTTACTTGGATGCTTCTTTATTACCATCTTTCTATATATTGTGTGTTTATTCCCACGGAATCCGGAACCTGCGTGTGCAGGCATTTGGTAGATTACTTAACAAAATATGCAGATTGTGGCTTGTTCTAAATATATGTGATTACAACCTATGGAAAGTAGACTCTTGCAACACTAGAGAATGCATGAACGAAATGCAGAGAACAAGGGGACGATTAATGCCTCCCTATAGTAAATAACAAATCTTGTTTTGTTTTGGGCCTTATGGCAACATGAGAAACCATTTTTTATAGACAAATTAAAAAAAAAAAATTGCAAGAAAACATTAACTTTGTTATGGCAATTCTTTGTGTACTATATCGACACGATGATAAAATCCAAAAACCACTGAGAATGTCTGAGATGTTGCGTACTTGCGGTATCCATGGCAATTGTAACATCACTGACACTTCCACAACATCACCACTAAAAGATCATATTTAACGGCAACAGCTGCAACCCGAATTGGATCAACTGTCTCACGGGAAGAAGCTTGAATTGTATGAATCTTCCAATCCTTGCCTTATATTATTGACAACAGCATAAAACCTTGCATAAGTCCATTATAAGGTATATAATGCCCAGTGATTCAAAACAGGTCTCCTAAGTCTTTAACGCATCAAACTTCGAAGTAATATGATATTTATGAATCCATACGACATAACATCAGCATTTCTCGAATCTATGGTATTAAATATTTCCTGTAAATAATTAGTTCAGAGTCAATTTGGTTAGTTTAACGCATACTGAAAAAACTCCCATAGGAATTGCAGGAATAATAATGAGACTAACACTATATACCTTTTCAATTTTGGCTGAATGGCTGACTGCAAAATAGTCCACAATATATAGAATTGATGTGCTCTCAACTTCCTGCCTTTGTATAACAAAACTATGCATGGTATACTCCGGAAGACATTAAGAAAACTAACATAGCATAACCATTCGCTATGTCAATATCATGAGACCGAACCGTATGGAAGATGTATATAAGAGAAAGGTGCTTTTCAATATGGACTGAATTATTTTTTGTGCATTTTGGGTGCTAAAATTACCAAAATTACCAAAATACCATAAATAAATAAATAAACATGAAGGAGGTTTATTAAGGGTATTTTGGTTGAGTACCCAGGCTGCACAATGCACTGAAAAATACTTTTCAGTATACATAACCACAGAATTAATTAACCTTGGTAAACATGGTCACATTTTACAGGCATCGGAGATATAATCACAGTCTTACCTTTTGAAAGCCAATTGTTCTCCATGTTGATTGTGGTTGTGGAGTATATTACTTATCCTAGATTTACATTCCCCTTTTTTCACCTTATTATCTTAACACAATCTCAATAGAATTCAAATTAGAAATCCATATGGTTGTTTATAATTCCCATCATATTCTTTGCTTGATTATAAAGTGGCACCTTGTCAGTATTATTAAGTAATGTCCTTAGACAAACATCATTTGAAAATAACTGTTGGCTGCATTCGAAACTAGAATAACAATCTAGACGAAACCTACATAAGACAACACTTGAACCTGAACTTTAGAAAAATGATCTAAACACACTCAATTCAACACATTTTTTGACATATTTTTAGTTTAATCATTAAAAATATAATATAAATATAATCAATTCAACCATTTTTTACATTTTGTGTGCATAATTATATTTTTAAACTTGTCTGCCTTTAATTTCATATTAAGAAATAGTGATTTTTTAATGAATGTGTTGTGCATTGTATTGAACCGGAGTATATACCAATAATTATCCAAAACTTTAAGATTTTAGGATCTCTCTGCCTTAATTACTCCTATGTCAGGGCTTTATATGCTCTATATAATGTCTACAACACTCCAGGGAAAAAAAAAAGTGAAAAAAATCTCTAAGTGCTTCTCTTATTCCTGGTCGGTAGGCTTCGGTGCAAATATCTCTCATGTATAGCAAAGATGATACACAAAATTGTTCTGATTCAACCCCAATGGGTGGCTCAATGGTTAAAAACTTGAGACTCCCAGTTGAAGATCTCAAGGTCGAACTTTGAATTGGGTGAGGAGGGATTTGAGAATAGAAGAGGGTTATCCTCTCTTATATAACTTATCATCAGATGTACCAAAAAAGAAAAAAAAAAACAAAATTGTTCTTATTCATTAAATGCAACCAGCCAAGCCAACCAATGACTAATCAAATTTCAATTTTCTTCAAATTTAGAAGCCTATCTATACAGTACAATATAATTGAATAGAGCAAAATCAACAAACTAGATAATGCATTTAACAAAGGCCACTGAGACAGAGAAACAAGCAGCCAATTAAGCACAAGACAAGACCCTATATATGCTGCTTAATTAAGAGTTAACTCTGTTTCAAGATTTTATGCTCATTCATCCTTATAACATGATAAATATATGATTGATTAATTCAAGTTGGATATGCAGAAAGATGCACATCAATATGGTCTGGAATTCAGAAAGAACATTTGTGCGAGGACTCGGTACATGGCTTTGATGCTTCAACCACCATGATAAAGTTCAAAAACTATATAAGGAATCAAAATTCCTATTGCATATTTTCTATGCCAACTAGGATTAACAGCGAATATCAAGTAATTGGAGGAATTAATACCTACTTGAGTTCATCAGTAGCAACTGAAGTTGAACTTTCCCATGACATTATGACAACGTCCCACCTCCAAAATGATGCTCTACACAATAAACATGAGAAAACATTATTTTCTTCATTGAATTAGCAATAGAAACTTGCCAAGAGAAAAATTAAAGAAGATAAAGAGGTGGGATTTCTTGAATCAGATTAGAAGAACTCACACATGACATGGGAAGAAATTAATAGTTTTATACATGTTAAGGTTGCGAACTGATGATTCATTTTTAATCTCTAATAGTAATGTAATCGTTTAAGATTGAAAATCAACCATAATACTGTAGAGTGTTTGTAGCAGCACACAGTTCATCCTTAAGGGGAAGAAAAAAAAGAAATTCATTCCTTAAAATTTGGAATAGGAAATGAATCACTAACAAATGGTGTAAGTCGGGATCCTACACAAACGAACAAGTAAATACATGCACATAACATTTATCTTTTACATTCAAAATATACCATTAAATGTAGAAGAAAGGTAAACCATGGTAAAAATTAATAGCCACCCTCCTTTCTCCAACCAACCTTAGGAGAAACTAGATAGGAAACTCCTAAAAATCAGTATTATTGTCCCTAGCTAACACTGTGAATGATCTCTTAATTCACTATTTTCCTAGTTGTGCTTGCTTAAGAATCCTTTAAGTAATTGCTTTATCAATTACATTTATCGTATATGTTGTCTATTTTGTAGTTAATTAGTAGCTAGTACCATGATTAATTAGGTCTTAAATTACAAGGGTCTCGTTTTACAATGCTAGAAGATTATGGGAAACCAATAACCATATATATACATTAATCTAGGCCCTAGGATATGGTGGACTGTGCCAAGCAACACGTGATGCAGGGTGTTTTAACTACATTTAACCACCAAATTATGTGGTGATAGGGGACAAGAAAGTTAATGTGACTAAATAAATTATGAGGATAAAATAATAACCTTAAAACTATATCATCCCTTCAATAATTTCACAAGAGGTCGAGGACTGCCTCTTCATTCTTCCTCCATATTCTGCACTTTCAAAATAATAATAATAATAATAATAATCAGCAAGTAGTACTACGTCAACAATCCCAATTAATCTAAGTCATAGCTAGATTTGTACCATACATAAAAAATGCTATAAAGGCAAGAGTAATACAATAAAAGAGAGCTAAAACATCAACATCGCGGCAGCACTAGGTTGGGAAGGGTGTCAAAAGCCCAATTACTGTACATATATATAATCTTTATATCCACAAGAAAGGATGTAATGGATTATAAAGAACGGTTGAAAACTGCAATAGAAAACTTCAGAGACATTTGGATGGAAAATAAATGGAAAAATCTATAAGTTAACTTGTCCTTGTGTGTATCATTAACTAGTATAAGAGCAAAATGGCATGGCAAGTATAAGATCAGATATGTAGACTAGATATACAAGGACAAGGTTCCACGCACCAATAGAAAGATATATAACCCTGAAGGGATACTCATGAACTATCATAAGTTGCTTAGTAATCATAATAAAAAGGGTTCTAATTAGTGATTTTATATGAAAGAAGGAATTTGAAATTCCCTTCCTACATGACCTTCTTAATAAGGAAATAATGAGAGATTATGGTTTTATAAAAAGAAGAAGAGGATTTTAAGGAGGGATTTAATTAGAAAAATTACTTTAATGTTATTTTGGAATGATAAATTTTTGTATTACAACCAAAACATGTTTGACAAGAAATCTTATTCAAACATATATGTGAAAGAAACAATTGAAATCTCCCCCCCCCCCTCATTTTATTAGAATCGAATCCTTTCCTCTACCTCTAAACACAATCTAAGTGATCAAGTATTATATCTTACACTCTTTAAATCCTAAATTAATTCATAAACAAAACAAATAATCACAATCTTTTTTTTTAACAGAAAATAATGATATTTATTGATAAACAGAGTATAAGGGGTATCCCAAACCCTTAAACATCAATAGTTGAGAGACATAAATGTACAAGAGTGGACTAACCCTGCCCAAATTAACAAATAATCACAATCTTGATTAATTACTTCTTCCCAAATTTGGGTGGTACTCATGAATCATCTGCTAATATAATGTCATGTGGTATAACTTCAAAAAAAACCACAAATCACACTGAAAATCAAGTAAAAGCAAGTAATCAAACTAATGAAATAGAAAATGCCACACATTTTTCTTCAGCAAATTAACATATTTTAGTATGTATGTGTATATGCTTTTATTTTTTTCTGGAAAGTTTATGCATGGAAGGAAGGTCCAACAGTATATATTTACCTCTTCACACATTGAATAATATGCATTACATTTTGACTACATCAGGTGCTGTGGTTGATCTCGTTGTTTCAAATTAACCCATTTGTAGCTCAAAATATATAAAACCGCCATCAATTTATGAGAAAACAATGTATCAAAGCAAAATTTCATGCGACTTTATACTAATAAAATTACAGTAGTACTCAAAATACATGACAGAGGCATTAAAACGACTGGTAGTACCTTTGCAAAACTAAGAAGATAAACAATTATATTTTTCAACATATATATACTTATGCAAGATGATTTCTTTATTAATTATAGCTTTTAAGGCACAGATCAAGAGTAGAGAAAATCGAAAATTTGCGGATTGCATGTGACACTTTATACCTTAACTCGATCCATTGTAGAAGAAGCTGCTTCTGGGGACATGTATACAAAGCAAAGATTGGAGTGAACAGTGCTTGTGTCAATCTAACCTGTACATATTAAGGCTCAAAACTTTGCAAAAAAACACTCTGGAAGACATTAGATTGGGTCAGATCATTGTTACGACTGTCACTAAGATTAGCCCCTGATCTGTCCTTCAAATTAAGCATGCAATACTCGTACCTATGTCCGAATCAACCTACAAGAATGTTTTCATCCTCCTCTAGCTGCACTCGACATAAAATAAACCAATAACAACCAAAATCACATGTTCTTTTTCAGAAAATAAACCAAGATTCAACTAAATCTATTATCACTTACCAAAAAAAAACTAATTTTGACATCAAATCTAGACAAACTAATTCATTGAACTTTGTTCTTGAAAAGATATAGGGTTGGAAACACTAATCCAATTTGAAAGTAAAAGAAAATGAGAAAGAAAACTCCTTATCTGCAGATCATACTCCAGATTCAGGTGAGAATTCAAAGAGATGAAATCGCACGCGCAAGATTAAAAAGGAAATATGAGATCATGTGAGTAGCTATAGCAAGAAAAGAGAAAAGAAAGAGAGGGGTCTGAGAGTTAGGACCATACTAATACCTATGGATAACAACGTCGATGGTCCCATGCTACCTACATACATGGTAGTCTCGACGCTAAATCTGCACAGTAATCAGGCGAAAACAGCATCTCAAAAGTAACAAAAACCACATTAAAAACAGTTTTAATACATAAATTAATCCTTAAAACATGTAACATCCACCATCTCCATCTCCAATGAGAGAATATCGTCCGCAGGCTTCGTGTAAGACTCCCACAGGGCTGCAAGTAAAGTAAAAGTAAAAGAAGAATATCAATGGAACAAAACAGGCCGAAAAATGACCGGAGAAGGATCAAATTCCGGTTCTGGAAGCTGACAGAAAGAGCAGTGAGCACGCAAAAGTAAAGTATAGGCTTATACTTTCCCTCTGTGTGCTCACTCTCTTCTGTCAATTTCTATGCTCCATGAATGAGAGAAAGAAGACGATGCAAAGATAATAAAGGCCAAACTGTTACCATTTGAGTCAGATCTGAAACCACAATCAGTACTGCCTTCCCATTTAACAAAAAGATCTATCTAGGGTTTTTATTCCCTCACCCAAAAAATACCAAACCCCATAAACCAAAAAACAGAGAAATTAAAAAAAAAAAAAAAAAAAAAAAGACGTAAGAAATCATCAATTAATCTACCACCACCATTATTGTTCCTCCTCATCTCTTTCTTCCTTTCTTCTCACGTACCAAGTGTCGGTGACACGTACAACAGTGTCGTCAAATCTAACAGTGACTTCTCTCATGGAAGGGAACCCCAAACATGGGTATGATATTTATAGAGAAAATGAATAAAAAAAAAAGAAAAAAGAGGAAGAAAAAAAAAAGGAAGGGGGTGAAGTATTGGTTGGCTGAGATTTGATCCAAGGGTAGATGTTGCTTTCATGGCCCACGAGTTCTGATGGGTACGCCAACCTGCCGTCTGATCGAAGACGATGGTAGGGTCGAGGGTGTTTTTGTCGGGTTGTGGTCTAAATTTGGGAGGGTGGGATGGGACTGCGTCATCCAGGGAGACAAGTGGTTCTTGCCCTTTACGGTGCTGTGCTAAGGTTAGTACAACCGTCATTTGCAGCCAATCAGGTGACGCCTTTTCGGGGGTATAACTGACTAATCAGGTCAGAACGGTGACGTGACACCATCTGATTGCTTGGTGTGTGGCTCTAGATATGTACAGAACCGCACGACATTAATTAGGGTTTTTCTCTAATTGGTCGGGTAATGTTCTGATTTTTATATTTTTTAGGTATCGTGATTGTTACAGATCCCTGATTAGGGTTTCATGACCTTTGAAGAGGATAAGGTTTCTGTTTTTTTAACATCATCTAGAAATTGGAAAATTTTGCTTAGATTAACGGCAACGTCCAGGGAAAACTCAATTCTTTTACTGCTAGTACTTTGAAGTTATTAAATCTTGTTGTATTACCTTTCTACTAAAATAATTATCATTTTTAAAAAAAAATTTCATTTAAGAATTTTTCTATCTTGTAAATGTTAATAGTGTATTTAATTATTATAATTTTTTATCATTAACTCGTTTAAAAAATTAAAAAAATTAAGATTTATTTTTAACATTAATGCCATATGGAACAATTTAATTAGACAATTGATAAAAGTACACTGATTGATATAATTTTTTTATTCAACACTATACAATACATTTATTAAAAATTTAATTTTTCGTTATCTAAAATTAAGGATAGGCAATCTAAAATTAGCAGCCACGCATATAACATGTAGCGATTAACTAAATCAACTGTATTTATACTATATTTTAATAACTGAATTGGTGAATGTTAAAAGGTGTGTCAAACCGGTTGTGTACTAATCATTATCCTTAATAAAACTTAAGTCCAACTTTTATTTTCTTTTCATGTAAATTAAAGGTGAAAATGTATAATAATGTATTTTTAACTTGTATCCTAAAAAATTCCTTTCTTTAAATTTAAAATTTATGGACAAGATATGCATTTATCTATATTAGAGAGATTTTTTGTGAAAATTAATTAAACAAAGTAAATAGATAATAATAGGGTTAAAGTAGGAAAAAATATTTGTCTACCTTAAAAATGAAAAAAAAAATAATTTAGGACAAATTTAAAGTAAAAAATGATAGTTATTTTAAGACAAATGGAGTATAAATATATTTTTGAGATAATGATAAATGAGATGAAAAATTTGGCACCAAAATTTGGAACAAATAATATGGTTTAAACCACATCATTTATTAAAAGGTAGAACCTATATTATTTAATGATGATTCTTTTCACCTTATTGAGACACTTGATATTATATGTATCAACTTATTTAATGACATAAGTTATACCACATCATTTATGTCAAATTTTCAATCCTCTATATCACTACTTTTTTTTTTTTTTATGTAAAAACTAGAATTTGAAACCCTCAATGTGGAACGAATTGTTAGCTTTATCCCTCACCTTCAGTTATGACTTATGAGCATTGCTAGCCATAGAATTACATACACAAAAATAAAAAATAAAAGGACTGCATCTTATAAATTGAGCGATTGGGAATTAAAACTTAGACTTTAAGGTAACAATTCATCCAATTTTATCATCAAATCAAATCACAAAGCTGATGATACTGTTTTTTTCATAAACTTTAGAGAAAAGGGAAATTAAATTTGCATGTGGAAATTTTTAATTTGACAATTTGCACTAGATTTCACTTATTTTTCATTAATATTGAACAAACTTTTTTTTTTTGAAAAGCAATATTGAACAAACTGCAGTTGTATTTTCTTTAAAAAAGAGAAAAAAAAATTATTAAGGTGCTATTGATTCAGTGGGCAAATTGGTAAAATCCAAAGCACTGCTTTTTTGCAGAGTAAATTTTAAAAATGTTAATTTTTTTATAATACACTAATTTTATTTGTATATTTTAGTAATTATATACAATATTTCTAACAAATTACCAAATATTAACATAGAATTATGATATAGCACAATACAAGAAAAAGCTACGAATGTAGTTGCAATACTACACAATACTCATAAGAAAAATTATTGATGTACATTTGGTTTAATATATTTTTTCACAATTATTTTAATTTAGTTATTAAAATATAATATAAATACAATAGGTTTTTATATTTTATATGTATGGATGTATTCTTAAATTTGTCTGTCTTTAATTTTAAATAAAAAAATAATTTTCATAAGTGTATTGTGTAATTTATTAAACCGAAATATAAGCCGATTAATGTTTTAATCACAAACATAACCTTAATTTTTAATTTACAATGATATTATTCAAATTAAAATGTTTATACAATCCACTTAAAAACATCAATTCTGAATTAAAAATTTAAAAATTTAAAAATATCCTCAATAAAAAACCATTTTCTTAGAGGAAATGCTATTATCTTATGGGCAAAGTGAATTATAATAGCATAAATATTGGAAGGAACCCAAAAAATAAAAAACTCACTTATCAGAGTGCATTTACTGATAGATTTTTTTTTTTATCAGCACATTTACTGATAGATTATATAAAACAATTATCATGTAAGTAAGTACTACCAATAATTTTTAATTCATTTACCAAAAAATTAGTTTTAAATTCAGCTTTTAAAGAAAACAAATATTGGATCCTAATCATTGGGATTCACGTTGAGGGAAATGATATGTTACTTTATATATACCAAAAAAAAAAGTTAATAATTAATTTATTAAATCGTAAATTACGCCGATGATTAATTATAAAAGGGAAAAGGCCTAATGGGGGTAGGGTATGGGTATGGTGGATGAGGCTGCAGAAGGAAAAGGAAACAACAGATGCACACACCCAAAAAGAAGTTGGCTTTCATCGGTGCATGAATTTATTGGATACGGCTAAAATGCGCGGGGACCAATCCTGTCCACATTAAACTTTCGATATTTAAAAATCACGTTAAATTTTTATTAATTTATAATTAAGTTGTATCAAATTCTATGAAAACAAAATTTTTGTGTGTTTATTTTTTTTATTTCATAAAATTTGAATTTAAGATTTTATTTAAAAAAATTAAACTTTTCCTACAAAAATCAACAGATTTTTAGCGTGCTGGGACCGTTCGACTACCATATTCTAAATTAATAAACATATAATTTCTTTTCTTTGAGAAATACCCTTAAGATAAAATTTTAATAAATAAATATTATTTTATAAATTAGGTTCAATATTTTAAAAAATGAAGTTGTTCAATTGGTCAAATACAGATCTTGTACTTGTGTTAAAGCAAACTTATATATGGCCTGACTTAAGTCAAGATGCATATATGATGCAAGTCTCCAAGGTACCGGCAGTAGGGTAGCCACTGTTTTTGAGGTTTTGATTTTACCCCTTTTTCATCAGCAACGGGAAAGATTGTTATTCTATTTTGCGTTTACGAACCGAAGTATTTTTTGTACTTTTTTTTAATAATAATTATTTATTTTTACTGGTAAAAAAAAGTTTAGTGTTTTAATTTTAAAGTTAAAACTCAAAAAAATTTAATTTATTAGAATATTTTCGACTGACATCAGAAATTCATTTTTAAAATTATCATGGGAGATATATTGCTTTTGAAGTATAGATAAATTGTCTTAAAAACACAACTGTCAAATTATAAAAAATAAAATAAAATAAAAAAATTATTAAATAAAAAATAATTATTTTAATATTAAAAGTTTTTTTATCTAAAATTTTTATTTTACACTATTTAAACAGCAGAATAAGGACGGACTCTTCCATCAATTACTATTAAAAAATAAAATTGATGGCCGGTGACCTGTCCTCTAACAATA